AAAAATATCTTTTAATGTTAATACATTTTATCTTATTCAATTATTCTATTAAAATATATCTTAAAATAAAAGTTTGATATACTATACTATCAAAGTTTCCAATATAGTTTACCTAATTTTAATTTCTAGCACTACAACGTGTTATCACACTTTTTGTCTTGATTTTAACATTATGACATGTAATAGTCTTATTAGCCGGTTCTGATGATGAAGAGATCCTGATTATATATGCTTGGCAGTCATGTTAACCTAGTTGTTTGAAGTCTCATATCTCATTAATAGTTGTTTGTGTGGACTTATATAAAGTAATATACTTAGGGGGTTTTGATTATATTTGTAATGAAGAGTGTTCATTCATACATGTTTTGTTAAAAAGATAACTATTGTAAAAAAAAAGTTAGAACGTTAATAGATAACAAAGGGTAAGATTGTTTTATTGTTAATATATATATATTTTTTTATGAAATATATTGGTTAATCGATGGTTTTGTCCGTATTAGGTTTTCATGACATGTTGTTAGTTTCTGGCGTAACATTGTTTTTGTTTTGTACTCATTTAGTGACTAATGCGATATATTTATTATATATATATATATATATATATATATATATATATTTGCAAAATACAGTGGTTAACTCTTTGGTTTTGTCCACGTTACCGCCAAAAGATGGATTTTCCGGCGATATTGGCATCTTCGAAGAACCTCCGATCATCTTCTTTGGCGATTGATTTTTTTTCCTACCAATCTCCAACAATTATATTTTGCCAACCAATCTCCGAAGATTATGCTTTTACGGTCAATCTCCGACGATTTTGTTTTTCGGACAATCTTTAGTAACTTTGTTTTTAGGCCAATCTCCGACGATTCTTTCTGGTCAATCTTGTGATTGTGTTTCTGGGTTTCTCTTTCTTCCTCAATTTGTATTTTTCCGGTGTTTCTGTTCTTCCGGCAAAGCTCTGAAGTACATCTCGCCAGTCATGGCGTTAGCAACCTGCCAGAGCTTCGCAATCGGAGTCTTACACTTGTCCTCAAACTCCCTGAGTATACCCATAGCCTTTGTCCACTTTCCGGAGGTTCGCATCCGGTGTCGCACCACCAAAACAGCAGAAAGTGCATACCGTCGCCGTCAGAGATTGGCCCGAAAAACAGATCATTGATGAATTGCCATAAAAAACAGAATCAACAAATTTTGGCTAGAAAAAACAGAATCAACAAATTTTGGCCAGAAAAAACATAATCGTCGATTGGCCAAAAAAATAAAATCGCCTTAAAAGATGACAACAGGTTTGCCGGAGATCCCAAAATCATCGGAAAATCTATCTTTTGGTCATAATATGGACAAAACCAACAAGTTAACTAATGCATTTTGCTAAAATAGTATTAGTGACTAAATGTGTATAAAACGAAGTCAATGTTACGCCAAAACCCTACAACTAGTCATAAGGATGTAATGTAGATAAAACAAACAAGTTAACTCGTGTATTTTGCATAAAGAAAAATATTAATGATGAAATGTATATAAAATGAAAACAATATACCATTTTGAATATTTTCCCTAAAAGTATCAACAACAATGTATGTATTGCATATTGTAAATTATTTGGTGGATGTAAATATATGATTTGCAACACGAAGGACAACAAAGCACAAAAATGGCTAGCCAATTTTTGGAAATAATTTTGAATTTTTTTAAACGAATGGAACGATGACATGGTTGCCACCATGTTACTTTAACTTTTTGTTAAATTTTACAACAATACAAGCTTAACATGTCATTTAAATATATAAGTCAAAAATGGCATTAAAATTGTCAAATGTAGATGGAAAAATACATGCACATTCTTTCCTCGGCAACCCATTATCGTGGGGCTTCTCTTTCTTCGGTATGCCACCATGGTGGGGTGATGTTTGTCGAGTATGCCATCATGGCGTTGAGCTCTTTGCCCCCCTACTCCACCAAGCATTATAAAATAAAAATAGAAAAACAAATGGTTCGGGACTCACTAGGTCTAAGGCTGCGTTTGACGCACTAGCTGAAAAGCTAGCTGGTAGCTGAAAAAAGGAAAATTTGCAGAAAAGTCCCAAACTTTTTCCCTAGTTTATGATTTAGTCCTAAATTAATTTTCATTTATGAAAAATGACAGGTTACCGAATATTACACCTAGTTTAGCCCTTCGAACCGGTAACCCTTCTATTAGCCGGTTACCCCAGCTGACTCGTCCTTATTACACTCCATTAACCTCTCTGTCACCAACTCCTCCGTAAAAACTCTTTCTTACCCTCTATCGGAGCACAACTCTACCAAAAATGGCATTTTCAAGATCAGTGGGAAGCACGAGCAATATCCGATCACGAAGGCAAGCATTAAGGGCAACATGCTTTTGTGAAGACCCTGTTGGTAAGTGGACATCATGGAGGCCAACAAACTGTAACGACGTAAATTTTCAAACCAATTTTTCATTTTTAAACCACTTAAAACTCATATATTATATATCATAAAAATCATAAGTGTCTCAAGTCAACATAAATCCATGACAAAAGTCAAATCCCAGAATCCTCAATAAAATCTCGAACAGATGTGTACAATCATGCCGGTGCCTTCCCGCGATCCTCTGAGGTACCTGAAACACATAACACATAACACGGTAAGCACGAAGCTTAGTGAGTTTCCCAAAATACTACATACAACATATTAGCCACTCGAGGCTATAACTCTGTAAGACCCTCTGGTCAATGTGTCTCAGTGGGACCCTCCAGTCCCACAAATCTGATGGACCCTCCGGTCCTAACTCTGTGGACCCTCTGGTCCTAACTCTGTGGACCCTCTGGTCCTAACTCTGTAAACTCTGAATAATACATGGCAATAATCACATAGAAATAATGCAGTATATCACAGTGCACAAATAACATATAAGATACTCTATCACACAACTCTGGTTACCACTCTAGGCATGTATAGTGAGAAGACTCACCTTGAAGTGAGCAAGCTAATACACCTCGTACACGAACCACCGATCTAGCCTCCACTTAATACATGCGATGATTATTTCTAATTAGACCATAATTCTAATAAACTCATTCTAACCCCCCTTTAACTCTTGGTAAGGGCAAAAGACCCTTCTACCCCTCCATGGTCCCCATTGCTCATATTTGATCAAAGCTCCAAAAGTCAACAGAAGTCAGACTTGAGTCAACAGTCCGTGTTGACTCAACTCGTCGAGTGCACCGGGAAGACTCGTCGAGTTCCCTTGTTCCCTCAGGGACTTATGAAGACCAACTCTACACGTCGAGTAGGCCCGCCAACTCGTCGAGGCACAACGTGCTCAGACTTATCGGGACAAACCCCAAGCGACTCGTCGAGTCCGTTCATGGACTCGGCGAGTTCATCCAGTCTGTATTCCCATTCAGACGTTTTAGGGCAGATCTATCACTCCAAACTCTAGATCTAGGCCCCCTAGGCTCAAATGTCACGTAAAGCTTCGATCTTTACGTTCATGCATGTCATATTTGCTCTAATATGCCATTACAAGCTCCAAAGAAGGTTGAAAGCACATGAGCTTGCCTTTAGCTCAATAAAGCTTGACTCTTTGGGCTCTCAAGGCCTCCTATAGTCCAGATTTGAGGTCCTAACCTCAAACCATGCTCACATTACTCAAGGACACAAGATGATTGGAAGAAAGCCCTAAAAGCTCCCAAAAATGGGATCTAACAAACAAGAGGTCAAGATGAAAGCTTTATACCTCTGAATAGCAGCAAATGAAAAGAAGAATGCAAGATCCACAACCTCCTCTTGATTAGATTCACCAACTCTTCCAATCTTTCCTCCAAAAATCTCAAGAATGCTCAAGATGGCCTCTCTCTAACTCTATGCACGAATAGGGCAGGTTAGGCTTTCTCTCTGGAGAAGGTGGCCGAAAAGGAGGCTATAAGTGCCTTTAAATAGGTCTCAAACCCGGGGATTTAGGGTTTTCACTCCCAGTGCCTACTCGGCGAGTCTACTCCTGGACTCGTCGAGTAGATCATTAAACCCACGTGGCCATCCCGTCTCTACTCAGCGAGTTATAGCACCAACTCGTCGAGTAGGTCAATGAACCTCAAAAATAAATTCGTAAAATAACATACCTGGGAATCCGGATGTTACACAAACCCTGGTAGGAGGTTCATCGGCTGCCCTAATTTCCGGGTAAGTATCCCTTAATCCTCTTTAATTACATCTCAAATCTCTTCCAATTAGGTTTTATTTCCTATATATCAGGATGAGGAAAAAGACTGCAAGTATTTTGCTTGGGTCGATCCCCCATTACCAAACAATTGGTGCAAAAACATGTTGATGGATTTTCACAACAATGGCATTCAAGTACACAATGATTTCGTGGAAGAAGATGTGGATTTTCACAATAATGGCATTCAAGAGGTTCATGTACAAGGTGAAGGTGAAAAATAGAAGATTGGGGTTTTTTGTGTTTGTTGGTGATTGTGTGGATTGTGTTGAAGTAATTTTAAGTTGTTGTAAAACTTTTGGCAATGTATGTAATCTTGATTACTTAAATGAAAATTGGATGTAAGTTGTATGTTGTTGAATGAAAAATGGTTTTATGGATACCTAGTGTTTGAGTAATGTACAATTGTAAGTGTATGATGTGAGAAAATGAAGGATGTTTTTCAACATAACATAATGACCAAAATGGATGTAACTTATACATCAACAAAACATACCAAAATTAGCCAAAGTGTTAATCAGAAATAACACACAAATCCAAGCCTCCTTGTAATTCCACGTCATCATGTAATAGTTCCAAGAACCACTTTCAGTTGGGCTTGTTCTCAATTTCAACTACTGCCCAAGCAATGGGATACACATGGTTATTTACATCCCTCTCTATGATAGTTAGCAACTCACCTTTACATTGTCACTTCAGAAAACTCCCATAAAGCCCAATAACTCTTCAACAACTAACTTTCCATCCTTCTTTGATAGCCTTAAAACATGTATACATTCTATGGAAAAGTAGTAGTGTTATCGGGGTTTATAGTGACATATATTTGAATTGTACTCACTGGATTGGACCTCATCAACTCATGTATATAATCCCATACTTTTTCATAGTGATCACTCAACTTTCGATCTATTAAAGAAATTACACTACACTTTGCTCTATAACATTTTGACCATGAAACCTTGCAATGGAACCTGATTTGAATAATAGCTTGCATTTCCTTACATTTCAGATTTGGTTTCCTAACCATCTCCTTCAGAAACTGCCTAGCTATCCATGTGGGATCCATAAGATTAGCACTACGGAAATTCCTAACACAAGTATGTTGCTCAACCAATTTTTTGATTTGGAATGATCTTTCAGTGCTCATCCATGAGGCCCTTACCACAAAGGGACATTGAAATTTCTCAGGGTCACTTGCACATACAACCACAAACCTTACACTATCACATTTCTTGAACCTAATTGGATAACCCCTACTTATAGAGTAATTTGTCAAACAAAGCTTTAGTTGGTGTGGTGATTCATACCTCTCCCCACGAACTAGCTTCATATTGTTCCATTTCACCTTCGGATCATGGATTGAGTACTGAAACTGCAATTTGTCTTCATCGTCACCCTCACTATCACTCAGCTTCTCCTGTGGTGCTTCATCTTCCGAGATTCCTTCAAAATCATTTAGGTTTATCTAGGTATGGTGCATTCGTCAAGCGCTTCGTCTGTGAGAGTGTTTAGGAACTCATCTTTACATCGACCTCTTTGTTTCTGTTTGAAAAACTCATCCAATTCCACGTCAATGGTATCCAAGTCATATACTGTCTCCATTATCACTACAAAACAAAAATTAATCAGAATATTATAAGGGAAACAAGATATTGGAGGACCACGTGGATTTTCTTACCTTTGATTCTTCTGAGGTAGGGTTTTGCTTTGATGGATGGTAAGAAAGGGTTTTTATAGAGGAGTGGATGACAGGGTGGTTAATGGAGGGTGATAAGGACGAGTCAGCTGGGGTAACCGGCTAATAGAAGGGTTACCGGTTCGAGGGGCTAAAATGAGAGTAATAACCGGTAACATGTCATTTTTCATAAATGAAAATTAATTTATGACTAAGTCATAAACTGGGGCAAAAGTTTGGGACTTTTCCGCAGATTTCTCGCTGAAAAACTAGTTGATAGCTGAAAAACTAGCTGATGGTTAAAAAAGCTAGCTGCTAACTGATAAACTAGTCGATAAAAAAAGAGTGTTTGGTAAAAACTAGCTGATAAGCTAGCTGAAAGGTATAAAATTACATAAAAATGACATTTTACAAAATAAGTTTTCTATAATTAATTAAGGGTATATTTGAGAAGTTTGTAAAAAAGCTCTTAAAAAACTACTCCAAGTAACTTTTTAAAAGCTTATAAGCTAACTTTTTGAAAGCTAGTTTTTTGGCTTACCAAACACGACAACCTAAAAAATCTCGAAAAATAAGCTAGCTTTTTAGATAGTTGTGACGCGCCAAACGCAGCCTAAATGAATTATTCCACTAGCAATATGTTAATTATTAGTTGTTTCTATATTTTTCCCTGACTCAACAAATTTCTTAGTAACAGTTTAATCCTTTAATGATATTGTTATTTGAAAAAAAACGAAGCACGTGGTTTTGCCGTTAGTCTAGAGTTTTTAAACCTGAGATTGAAAATCTTTGTGTTTATCTACGAAGACAATATTTAGAATAACGCGAAAAGCTTGCTTTGTTTGTTTCATAAATATATAGTTTTTAAGTAATACTGTACTTATCTAACATAAAATATAATTTTGATAGTTTTTTTTGACTTTTAACAAGCACTTATGATATTATTGAATATAGATAAGCAAATTAGTTTTTCAAGATTACGAATTAATACTCTTGATTTTTTAAATGATTAACCTAAAAACTTAATTATTTAGAAATTTTCAAGAACTTATTTACGAGAAGAATAAAAAATAATAAAGTCAAATATTTTGAAAAAATATTTTGTTTCAAATGTTTTATAAGTTAAGAGATTTGGCCTTTTGTAGAATTTTGAAGACAAACTTGCAAAAATAGTAAATGTGTTTTGTCATTTTCTTTGGATAGGTCCAAACTCCAATCTTTGAAAAGTTGTGGATATAGTTTTTCTTTTGCATAGTTTTATTATGAAAATGGTTATCAAATTTGAAAAGACTATAATTTGATTTATTTTTCACAATTTCTTAGCATATTTTTAAATATTTGTTTTAATTAAATAGAAAGGACCCACCCTCACCCCACCCCACCCCACCACATCCCACCCTTCCTTCTTCAGTTAACGACAAAAATAAGCACTCACTTTGCCTTCCTCTCTTTCACTCACCTATCGCATAGATCACTTCATCCTAGTCCTACTGTAAACCAACATCACCACCTCCTACTGCAAACCACCCACTGCCACAACCTCTGAGTGTCTCAGTTGGTAAAGTGGGTAACAATATGTAAAGTGTTTATAATTTCAATCACATCTCAATCGTGTGTGAGGTCGGTGTATTTATATTAACAAAATACAAACTAATCTCCTGTATTAAAGGAGAGATAATACAAGATACATACAAATGCATATTTAAATAATACGTTGGTGATTATCTAATACCCCCCCCCCCCCCCTCAAGCGAATGGGTGGTGGACCAAGTCGTAGCATAGCGCGAAATTGTTCAAACTGGGCACGCGGAAGACTTTTGGTGAAATATTTGCCACCTGAAGCTTGGTGGAAATGAACTTCGTGTAGAGTTTATCGGAAGCAACTAGTTCTCGAACGAAGTGATAGTCTAGATATGTTTGGCTCGTTTATGGGGGAGACTGGATTTTGAGTAATGAAGAGAGCACTTTTGTTGTCACATAACAAAGTTGGTCGATCCGGAGGTAAGGCATGCAACTCTCGTAAAAGGTGAGTGATCCAAACTATGCCAGTTGCAGTGTTAGCTATAACATGATACTCCGATTCACAGTTAGATCTTGAGACAGTGGGTTGTTTCTTTGCACTCCAAGAAACCAAGTTGCCACCGAGAAATATGGAGTAGCCATACGTGGATCGACGTGTTTCAAGGCAACAAGCCCAATCAGCATCATAGTAGCCCAAGATGTTATTAGTATGTGGACGGCGAAAAATAAGACAAAATAAAATAGTGCCCTTGACATACTGCAAGATTCGTTTTACTGATTGAAAGTGAGCATGAGTAGGAGCATGAAGATATTGACTTGCTTGATTAATAGCATACGACAAACCAGATCGAGTAATAGTAAAATACTGTAAAGCTCCAACTAATGAACGGTAGAGAGTAGGATCAGAAAACAATGGTCCGTTTGAAGTAAATGTATCATGAGTAGCTAGCGGTGTGGGAAGTGGTTTGGAATCAAGTAAATCAGCTCGAGTAAGGACATCCTTAACATATTTGGACTGACATAAAAACAAACCATCATCGGTATAGGTGACCTCCAAGCCAAGAAAGTAATTAAGATCACTAAGATCTTTGATAGAAAATTCTTGATTTAAGTGAGTAGTAAAAGAAGTGATTAGCGATTCTTGATTACCAGTGAGAATGAGATCATCTACGTAGACCAGCAAGTAAATAACATAGGAGTGTTTGGCATAGATGAATAAGGAGGTGCCTGCACGACTGCAACTGAATCCGTTTTCAAGCAAAAATGGGCTTAGACGATGAAACCAAGCTCGTGGGGCTTGTTTTAGTCCATATAGAGCTTTGGACAACTTGCAAACATGATTAGTTGTAACATATTTATTTCCAGGTATTCCATTTATACCCTTGATATGGGAAATGTTGGCAAAATGGTTCCCTTGTAGTGTTTTGGAGAAAATGCGTATTCTGAAGGACATTATGCGTCCGTTCTGGACACTATGCATTTTCGTCCTGGACTCAAAACCCTAATTTTTAGGGTTTGGACCCTATTTATTCATCCTTAACCCCCAAGACTTTTTTTTCTCATTAGCCTTCAACCCACTTTCGTCCCCAAGCAAACTCTATTTCATTCTTGAGCATTCTTGAGCCATTAAAGTGTGTTTTTAGTGATCTTTAAGGAGGAGGAAAGAAGAGGAGACCATCTTAGAGGAGTGAAGCACATTGGATCCAGAATCTCATCATCATTTGGCATCTTTTGAAGGTAAAAAGATTTGAACTTGATGAAGTTATACCTAGATCTTTTTTAGACATGGTTTTATGTTCATTTTGGTCCCATAAGCTTAGTATTATGAGTATGGGTTACTCTAATTCATATAAGCTATCCTTTCAGATGTTTTGGAGCGTTTAAAAGCATAAAATGCAATCTTGATTGTTAGTTTCCCTCCATGCATGATCTAGGTTGTCTTTATGAGTTAAAAAGTTAGGGTTTTTATTATTGGGTACTTAATATCCATGCTAGACCATATAAGTTGGAAACTTTATGGTTAAGGACATCATTTGAGGCATAGATCTGGAATTTGGATGAAAGAGCTTAAGGATTAAGCTCTTAATAGAAGAAAAAGGAAGCAGTTGGAGAACGCTATGCGTCCCCAGGAACGCTAAGCGTCCGTGGTCTGTTTCGCGTTCTGAACAAAAGCATGAGAACGCTATGCGCCCGTTCTGGACGCTATGTGTTCTCAACTGAGTTGACTCATTTGACTTTTTGACCTTTTGACTTGGACCAGATTTTGACCAAGTTTGACCTAAGGCTATTTTGGGTATTTTGAGCTATAGTCTGAGTTTTGGTCACTGTTATTTGTAAATGTGACCGGTACAGTTGGTTACCGGAGTATCGTGTTGTTTCAGCTTTTTCGTATGTCCGTGAAGCGAGTCTTCTTACTGTATGCATGGGTCGAATGAACCAATGTCAGTCAATTATTCATTTGTATAGAATGCTAGCTGTTATGTGATATATGTGTTTTGTGATTGGGTTGAAATACACCTCAGGGCGGGGCCCACTATTGTATGTTGGGTTGAAATACACCCCAGGGAGGGGCCCACTATAGCATGTTCGGGTTGAAATACACCCCAAGTTAGGGCCCACTATGGCATGTTCTGGTTGAAATATACCCCATAGCGGGGCCCAGTTGTATGTTTGGTATGGGGTACTTTGGGGGAACTCACTCACTCTTTTGCTTATAGTTTATTTTTATGGTTTCAGGTACTTCCGGTACTAAAGGTACGGGCCCGACGTGATGACACATCATCCTCCCCTCCTTTCCGCACTTTTTGGATATTATTACTCTGATGGTTTTTGAGATTGTATATAGTGAATGTTTTGGAACATCTTGATATTTAGAAACTATTACTTTTAAAATGAAAATTTTACTACTGTTTTTGGAAGTTACAAGTTGGTATCAGAGCCATGGTTTGAGGGATTCGGACACACTTTCGGTGGTGTAAGAACTCAAACCGAGGAAATTATAATCTTTTTGAAAAGAAAAATAAATTGCATTTCTAAAAAGATTTTACTAAGAGGAAAGGAGTGCGATGCGTGCGATCAGCTAAGCTCAAGTAAGTGGTTCCCAAATTACACATACCTATGTATTATGATCAGTATGCTTGATATGTGAATTGCATGCTAGATTAGGGCTAAGGATACTTTCAGGAATCATATGATAGAATTACCCGATTTGTGTTATGCCTTATAGCCTAGGAGGCCTGGATGTCATGTTTTACTTGGAATGGATATTGGCTCAGTTAATTGCTAAGTGTATGCTTTTAAAGTTGTATACGATTAGGATAATATAACCCTAGAATGATCGATTTAGCCTCATTTCATGTTCCTTGTTCGGTTGTGGACTTAGGGTAGAATCATCATTTAACAGTCT